TGTTCTCTTACATTCTGATTAAAGCTGAGGAAGAGCTGTTACGCTTTCTGATTAGAGCTAAGGAAGAACTGTTACGTTTTCTGATTAAAGCTGAGAAAGAACTGTTACGTTTTCTGATTAAAGCTGAGGAAAACTGTTGCACCTTAAACACCTGAAAAATTACGAATTTTTAATTCAGCATATTCTTCACGACCCACAAAGTATTATTAAATATCGAGATCCGTTCGCTTGTCTGTCCGGATCGGATCGATAAAGCCAGTTAGAGATCAAGCTCGTAATTTATCTAAGTCCTTACGAAACGATTACGATGTACTGTACAGGAGTTTTCATGGAGGGTTATAATTCTTTTAACTGGACATTTTATCATTTATTGCCTCTTTTGGTGTGTTTAAATAAAATAAATATTGTGCTTAACGGGAGTATTTGTCTATCTTTAAGTGCCTTTTAATAGTTTTTAAAAGGTCAACAGCCTGTAGGCCAAAGCAATATAACAATAAAAACAATAATAGGTTAGTTTGGTGTGTTGAAAATAACTTGGCGCCATATTAAAATTATTTAAAGTTCGAAAATAACTTGGCGTTGTGTAATGGCTCCTTTGTTTTTAAACAATAATTTGTGTTTAGACAATTTTATCCCGAACCTTTTCTTGTTATTGGACTGAGAAAATAGATTTTGTACAGTCCAAATACCAAATTGATCCAATTACAGTATTCTGGTAACAATAGGCTGTACACATCCAACTGTTTAATTCTAGAGATTTTCTTACATATTACCATTCAAAATCTACAGTTGATCTTATGGGCCTACTAGATCCACGTTCTTGTATAGAGATGGGCCTACTAGATCCACCGCATTAGTCATAAGATATAAACTAATGGCCAAATAAGCCTGTATCATCGAGAAATTCACTTGCATCTTCCGAATCATCATGACAACTTAACGAATCATCTCACATCATCCTCTCACGTCTGTCATTAAAAGTGCACGAATCACATCCTCCTCATCACCATACATCTGTCATCAAAGGGGTTCAAATCACATTATTAATAGTTGAATGACGATGATGCAAAGATTTGTGAACTGCACCACACCATCATCATCGTAACCTACGCTTTATGAATCACCCCTGCATCATCATCGATCTACGAGCCCACGGATCATCATAGAATTGAACCTGCCCTATTGAATAACGTAACGACTCATCATCTACACGAAAATAAAATATTTAGACATAGAATCATCCGATCCACTGAATCGTGGTCACTTCATCATCGTAGTTGACAGGTTGGAAATTTTATATTCCATCTCTAATTAAATTTTTTCATCATCAATTCTCCTTAGAAAAACAAGAGAGATTCTCTTCTCTAGAATAAATTCTCCATCGATTTTCTCCACTGAAAAACATCGTTTAATTAATTAATGTTTGGACTGGCGTAACCAACATGGAAATTATTGAATGTCGTTACGAACCTGTCTTGTACGGACGAGGTGTCGAGTGAAAAATGAGGGCCGAAAATTAATTTGAAACGTAGAAATTTGGTTAAAAGGAACGTATAAAAGGAAGTGTTACGCTTTCTGTTAAATTTGAAATAGAATTGGTTACATTTCTGGTTAAATTGGGGAAGAAATCGTCACATTTTCGACCGTTTTGTTAAGCTGAAGTAAGATTTGTTACGTTTTTTTTCGTTAAAGTTACGCTTTTGCTAAGTCGAGAAAGAATCATTACGTATTTTTGATTACATTAGGGAAATAATTGTTACGTTTTCGATTAAACGAGAGAGAGAGAGAGAGAATCGTAACGTTTATGACTAAACAAGGGAAAAATTGTTACGCTTTCTATCAAATTGGAGAACAAAATGTTATATTTCTAAATAAAGTGGGGTAAGAATTGTTACGGTTGTTTACTTTTAAACTAGAGAAATAACAGTTACGTTTTTGATTAAATCGGAGGAAGAATTGTTACTTTTTCGATAGAAACGGAGAAATAATTGTTACGCTTGCTACTAAAAGGCAAAAAGAAGGGAAAAAAATGTTACGTTTTCGATTAAGTGGAGGAAGAATTGCTTACATTTATAGCTAATAATCTAGAAAGCAATTGTTACTTTCTAATCTAAACGGAAAGAAAAAAAATGTTACGTTAGTGGAAATATAGAAGAGAGGAAAGCTTTGTTACTCAGGTCGTTTGTAGTTGGGTCATAAAGTCGATTGTGTTGTCGATTGTAAAGCACAATAACAAGCAGATGTGTTACGAGTGGAGCAAAGTCATTAAACTCGCGTATGAAATTATCCCTTCGCTCTTGTTACGTTGAATTTGTCTTCGGGCGACACTCGTTACACCTGGAGCCTATCGTAATACATAAGTAGATATTTCTGGCGTAACATCTGCCCGTTCGATAATAATAAAATGGGAAGTTTTTTCGTCTTTCGCGTGATGTGAATTAACTACAAAATTGAGGAGAATTGTTACACTTTTGACCACATTATAGAAAAGACTATACTTCTGCTATATTAACAAATAAATTGTTACGACTATTGCGTTCTCTAGAAGAGACGGAAGGAAAAATGTTACGTTTTCTAGCAGAAATGCAAGGAAAACGTTACGTTCTTTAGCAAAGGAGGAGATGACACTATCTTCTCTAGCAGAAATGAAGTAATTCCTACATTTCTTATTTACAATGTAACGAATTTCAACGAAGCGTAACAAAATGCATTATCGAATTACGTTACGTTTAAAAAAATATATGAATTATTATCGATCGAAGCTTCGTCATTTATCAAAAACGTTCTCTCTTTACCGACGAAAATTTGCTTAAAGCTATATAATAATCGATTAACTTACTTTAAAAAAACGCTTTTGTTACGTTTACGTTAAATTGAAAAAAAGTATTTTATGATGAAAGGATTATTCGCTTTTGTCAGAAAACGTAACATAATTTTTTACGTTTTATAATTGAAGCTGAAAATAATTGTCACGCCGTTTGATGGGATTAAATTCAATTGTTACGTTCTCTAAAATAGTTTGTAAGGGTGGGTTTTCTAGTAAAAACAAAGATTACGTTCCCTAGTAAATACGAAGTAAATTGTTACGCTCTTTTGCAGAGTTCTAAAGGGCTGTTACGTTCTCTAGTAAAGACGGAGAGAAATTGTTACGTTCTACGGCAAGGTTTAAAGAAATATTACGTTCTTTAGTCAAGACGAATTGTTACGTTCTATGGCAAAGAAAAAAAGGGTTTGTTACGTTTCTTGGTAAAGACGAACGGTGATTGTTACGTCCTGTAATGGAAACGAACAGAGATTATTACGCTCTTTACCAAGTACAAAATAGAACGTTACATTACCTAACCAGGCAAATGAATCTTTAACGTTTTCTAACATGAAACGTAACAATTCATTTGTCTTTTTAAAATATTATCTCGGTTCGTAACCGGAAGCGTAACAAAGTTTCATCTACGAGAATTATTAAAGCGAGAACATTTTAATTTTCTCTAAAAAATGCAATTTGTGGAAGAAATTTAGTAGATTTATCTTCGTTTGTTACGCGTAACGCTTCTATAGTATATCAGTATATATTCTACAGTATATAGGTGCACTCATAATTAACATTAGTGTTCCTAATTACCCCCAAAGAACGAAGAGTGTTCCTAAAGGAATCAGGAGCACTCGTAATTAAATATTAGTGTTCCTAGTTCCTCCGGGTTGAATATTAAAGAGGATATTAGCGTCATATTATAATGTAAATGCATAACAAATAAATAAAAAAGATTTAACAATGTGAAACAGCAACGTAATTGAAATCATTGTGTCGAATTGCCCCACGTGTAATTAATTCACGTGTTTAACAGGCGCATTTCTTAGAATAATCAATAAACTTCACCCCCACATTTTTGTAATTGTAAGGTGTGGCAATTTCTAAAGGATCCTCCCCCGTAGTTTCCGGAATGACACGTATATACGCAACAATTAATTTAGTAAGGTTATAGACAATTTAATTACCAAAATACATGGGGGGAGAGAATACTAAATTAACGTTATATGAAGGGGGAGACAATTGGCCAGTCCTTATAGAAGAATGTCGTGACGCTTGTTAAGTTTGCAACGTGATCGCACGTCACTTTTTACCACGAGTGACATAAAAATAGTTTTTAAGTGTTTACGTCAAGATCTTGTCTATCACTCCCCCCCCGTTTCTATTATTAAACACGAACTCGAAGGGGGACGATTTGCTGCCATTACGTCCGTTTTTGGTAGTGTTCGTCGTCATGATTTTCTGCCATTGTTACGCCTTATGTATCTCAATACATAAGCTAATTTATTAGTAAATGGGATCGTTAACGAGTGTTCCTTGGCGTAAACACTTGTATTTTTTACGTAACGTCATAAAAGCTGGGAAGAAGGCAGACGTCTCTCGTGTTTGGATCCCTTCCCCCCAGTAATTTGGACGAGGGGCGTGAAACGTCACTTCCGTTTTATTCATACACAAAGTCGAAAGTAGGAGTTAATATCTGTAGACTCGACCTTCGACCTGGTGTGTCACGGTTTCCAGCACGCAAAATGGACAGAAAACGAAACAATTCGGCTATTGTCGTACTAGATGACGAACTTTGACCTTGGCCACTCGTTACCGGTTTTTATGGCTAAGCATTAGATAAAAGTCTCGGCAAGTTACGCCTATACGAGGGAAAAAAAACGTAACAGAAATATTGTGAGAGAGGTGAAATTCGATCCTCGGATCTCGCGAGACTTTGCTTCACGGACACACGACACCCTCCTTTGACACTAAACAGTTGTTTTTTTTTTAAGTCGTTTGTAATGCAAAAGAACGACGTGTTTCGAGTGTTTATCGACTCGACACTTAATGTTATGTTGTGTTACTGGGAAGTAACACGAGTTATGTGCCGTAGATGCTGAAGGAGAAATCAAGTACATACTGTAGCTTGTTTACGTCTTTCACTTCAATACGGTACCTTGCTGCTGGTACATAGATGTGTACCAGCAGCGAGGTACCGTACTGAAGTGGAAGATGTAAACGAGTTACGTAGATAACGAGGGATGATGTACTTTGTGATGGACCATACAAGAGAAGGATGTACTTGGGGATGAAGCATGAGAGAAAACATGTATTTGGTGATGGTGCATAAGAGAAAAAGGTGCACTTGGTGAAGAATAGTGAAAGAAAAGATGCACTCGGTAATGGAAGATACAAGAACAGATTCATTTTCGATGGAGCATAACAGAATTGTATACATTTCCTGACAGAATACACTAGAACCAGCGATAAAGCATAGGAGAAGAAACGATTATAAAGCAGGAAACCGTGCATTTGGCGACAGAGCATAATAATAAAGCGGTAGGCGACGACCAATCTGGTGATAAAACTGGTAGGTAACGAGGACAGAGAAGGAAACAAGCGGGTTTGCAGCACACGATAAGAAATGTAGGCGATACGAGAGCAACGAAACTGAACACGTCAAGGGGGAGGGGAGACGAGAAGAAAAACCAGAAAAGAACGCGCTGTAAATAATGAAAATATAAAAAAGTGTACGTCAAGATACGAGTAAATCCCAAAAACCCTTTGACCCGATAACCTTTCGCCACGCCATCCAAGGTCACGTGCACCGGAGGAAAACATCGGAGTCGCTCGAACGAGGATAAAGGTTGAACCTGCAGACACCTCTCACGGTTACGCGCAGACGGCGTCGAGCCCCGAAAAATGGGGTTCCGAGGGATAAAGATGCAGGAGGAATATTATGGGATGGATGCTCGGGCAATCTCCGTAATACGGAGGAGGAGCGAAACGAGTTTTTCCGATCGATACGGAGGCGAGAAACACCAGGCGTCACACCCAAACGTCTCTGACGTCACCGTCCCGTCCGGTCTGTGTTCGAGGTTGCGTTTCGGCGCATGCTCGACTGGCGGACGGCCGTATGACGTCTTCGGTGGAAGAGGAGCGACCATGGTGGTCGAGAGCGTCATAAATGCCCCTCGCTCGGCCGCCTCGTCCAAAAGCAACGTCGTCGTCCTTCGGCGGAGGCTCCTCTGACACACTTTAAAACCCTGGCGTAGCGTCCGATGAGGTAAGTGTTGCCAGTCGGCGCCCCCGAACGGAGGTTTCTTTTCTTATTTTCTTATGCCCCTTTCGCCCTCTCGGTACCCTCTAGAGGTGGGGAGGATTTCGATGCAGTTGCGACCCCCCGGATGGAAGAGTGGCATCCCTTTCTAGGATGAGGTGCCGCCTTCCGAGCCACACGCTCGAGCTTGATTCTCCTCTTCTCTTCCAGATGCCGCATGTCGATGTCTTAGGGGTTTATCGGTAGTTTCGTATCACTCGCCATGTCTACGTTCGTCCACATCTGCTTGTGTTTGATGGCCGTCTGTTGGTCTTCCGCCCTGGAACAATGTGGCGACATAAGATTCGGCGTTCGTTCCGGGGTCATTAGATTGCCCGACCTTTCGGGTCAGCTCGTAGAAGACCTCAACTGTTCCTGGACCTACACGGCACCCCCGGGTCACAAATTATTAGTTAAAGTGGACAGCGTGCAGTTGCCATCTATAAACGTGAGGACGTCGTCGCTCCAGTTGTACGTCGACGAACAACGGTACGACATTCCACGTAACTGCGTCCAGTGTTTGAGGGAGATGATAGGGGGCAAGAAACTCAAGGTGACGTTCGTTTCCCTCGTCCGACCCTTTTCGGTGGATAACGTCTCTTTGGAGGGGGATTTCGTCCTCTCCTCTCAGACCGTCGGATCCTTCCAAGTCAGATTCAAGTCGTTCGATCCTTATCGCTGCGATAAACCCAAAGCGCCGGATAACGGATACGTCATCGATAAGGGGTGGAAGCTTCATCAGGAAATTACCTACCACTGCAACCCCCCCTACGATTTAGTAGGAGATGCCAACGCTACCTGCACTGTACTGGAGGAGAATCCCGTGCCAGATTGGAACGTACCACCCCCGAAATGCATCATCCGTAATTGCAGCAAAGGTACCATACGAAGGGAAGCGGGAGCGGGTGCTATAGCCCATCCAGGTTATCCCATCCGCATCCTGCTTCCTCCCACCCCCTGCCGGTGGGAGATTGAGACTAAATCGGGACACATACGAGCCATACTCACCTACCTCAGAAACCCGAGTGGAGACAAACTCGAAAGGTCCACGCGCGTGGCACTGTATGATGGCTCGACGTCCAACCCTATCGTCCCTAGCCACGACGCCGGACAACCGTTCAACTTCACCACTCGATCCAAGAAACTCATCGTCCAGTACTCAAGTGCCCAGGAGAAGAGGGAGGGAGGCAAAGTTGGCTTCTATCTGGAATACTCTGCAGTCGAGAGCTCTTGTCCCGATCCCGGTTCTCCCGCCAATGGCGAAGTGGTGGCTTACGGTTTGACCGTGGGATCGATCATCTCCTTTAGATGCTCCAGCGGATACGTTCTGGTGGGAGAGTCACACGCCGAGTGTCTGTCCAGTGGACACTGGAGTGCTGCCAGGCCCACTTGCGAGGGCCCGGTTTCTGCCCCGTTCGAGACTCTACTGACAGTTTCTAATCGCAGTGATACGGTCACTTCCAACTTCACCGAGACCCCTCCCCCCTCCAAGCCTACAACGGTGCCCAAAAAGAAGTATAAACCCGTACCCAGTGTCAAATCTCCCACCAAGCCTCCTGCCATCCTATCGAAGGGTACCTCCGTGCATAATACTCAAGACATGATCGACAAGACCCCAGAAAAGCCACTAACAGAAGGAAAAAGTGGGGTAAGTACTTATTTTACTCGTTTCTCGTACCCCCGATTATATTTATAACATCGAAACACCTCAAAAAACACCCGATTTTCCTCGTGTCGCGCAAAAAATTGTAGCGAAGTTGCCCGGATCGTGTTCCTTTGTTATGTAGGATACGCGCCCCCCTGCGACATTCCGGGAAGCTGCAATTGTTCGGATAAACGACTGCCGACTCGGCGCACCCCCGAAGGCGATACTGGTTATGCAGGTTCACAACCCCCGACCGTAAGCGATGTCGAGCGGATCGGCCTGGTTTTCCACCCCTCTTATAGCCCTTGGGACACAAACAAGCGGCGCAGTTAGTTGACCCGGGTTGATGACTCATTCTCCTTCCATTCTTTCCCCCCTTGACAGGTGGTTTCGAAATCGCAGCTGCATTGAGGTCTAAAAAAAGACATTTCTTACGACTGTTGTCGCAAGATTCGACTCGAATTCTATCAATATATTTAGTTTTATACGTGTTTATCCTCCCTCTCTACCTGTTGCATTGTTTACGGATAACGTAACACTGGATCTATCCATCCAAGACTGGCTATTACGAGTAAACAACAGCTAAAGTGGCTTATATAAATACAGGAAACACGAGAATATCGTGTAGACGTATCGTAACATTTAACTGTTAGATAACATTGTCGACTGTAAAGCAGCCAAAGGGTGTAGTCTGTGTCATAAAACAATAATTTCAAGTTACATTGATGATATGACTCGATTAATGTTCTAAATTGGGACTCAGAAAATTATGGCTAGGTTGGGTGTGGAGCTGCCAAGTGAACTCACGACGGTCGATAGACCGTAGCTGTCTACATAAACGAATATAAATAATAAAAAAAAATATGACGTAGTGTTTACTATTCTGTGACTGCTTTGTTTGTTCCTGGAAACATATCAAGTGTTGTTAAAATTCGAGGTCGTTGCAGTTTAAAAAATAAAAATTCAGTACACGAACCAAAATAGAGAAGCGAAATTGGTGTAACGTATTTTCCTAATGGTTTCTATAGTATTCAACGTAACGAGAGTTACGTTTGTTTGCCGTTAAACGTAACTGAAAACCGAGAATAATTTGAGCCACAAAGCGAAGAAATGACATTTTTCTTACAAAATATCGAAAAAAATTATTCTTTTTATTGATGTTGCATCCCTATAAGGTCATTGCCAAGATACAATTGGTCAATAATACAAAAGTCTGTCTGAGTTGTCGTCCGTTTTATTGTATTCTGCTTTTGTTCACAAACTGAATTTAAACATCGTCACCATCCCCTCCATTGACGACGATTTATTTATTTTTTAAACAAGTTATTTTTTGAATGGAAACACTTCTCTATTTACACATTAAGGAGCTTTCAAACACGATTCAAACATCTCGTCGTATTTCACGCAATTGTATTGATACTATAGAACATCTATACAAACTAAATGCACAATGGTGCAGTATATCAGACTCATCCTGATCCCTCCGAAGATAAAGCTGCTCTCTCCACTTTTTTGATTCAAGTTGTAAAAAACGATTCGAAAATTTAATGAAATTTGAACTTATACACGAACTTTCTCATGATTTATTTGATTAGCAAGAAAGATTTTAAAACTTTCTGTCACCATCTTGTAGCAGAAGAGCAGCTTTGTTGACTTATCGACATCATCAAAATGGATCTTCTGGGAATCAAAATGGCTTCATTCTAGTTAATCGATTCGCATAACAGATTTACAGCTCAATAAACATCTACAGAATGTTTTTTCCCCTCATATTTTAAAGCTAGAACATCGATTCGGTTACGTGTTCCTCTGTAAAAAAAGAGATCCTACCATAAACAACGTGCCAAGACAGCGAAAGATGGCCGCACAAGTAAAGAAAAACATGTCACGGAGGCAAAAAAGTGTTGCCAAATGTGTGTAAGCAAATAAAAAGTGTGCACCAATGTTGCCGGACGAATCAAAGAGAGAAAAAAAATCTAAATTCCAGACATGGATCGGGGAGGAACCAAGTTTACTCTAACTAAAGAACCGCTCTGCTAAGTAAACAAAGCTTATCCTCATTGACTAATCATGAGAAAAATTCCAGAGTGGAGGAACAAAATTGGGTTAAAGTAGAGAAAGTCGAGCTGTACAAATAAAAAATTTTCAAACAGATCGTTTGTTGCCCATATTTTACGAAATTGTGTTTGCCCTGTAGAAACTGTAAACAGTGAAATGTTTCGGTGCAATGTCTAGAAATTCTGTTCAACTTTAGCACGGAACTTCCTAGTCAACAAGGAAATCGCACGGTAAATAGAGTTACACAATGAGGATTATCGATAACAATCGGTTCCATCCATCAAAATCTGGCAGAAGGCACAATGGAGGATCGATATTTTTCGTTGATTGTTGCAACTCCCTACTCTTTAATCTGCACTTTAACTACTATATGGACGATTTGGAAGAGGGGAGAAAAGTATCGATTTTTTCCTTATTTCAACTCGAAAAAATTAAAGTTTTATAGAGGATTATGTATACTTTTATTATATATAATAATAATATTTAAAGATAAAAAAAGTTTAGAATAAAAAAATAATTTATGACACGTTTCAATACGTGAACCCATAAAAATGACTTTATGTTATGCGGAATTAACGCTATTATATACGAGTTTTTTCGATTCCAAGAGAATTTCTATTGTTACTCTCTCTTAGAATTCATTATTTGCAACAATTTTCGTCTATTTTTTGTGTTTTTTAATGGAATTTGCCCTGTGGTTCAGTTTTTTTTTTATAGTTATAGATCTAGAGCTGTATTTAATTGCATTGGTTTATTTGATTGCAACAACACCTTACTCCATTTTTTTTGCATTATTTTATAACAAAATAAACTTCTTCCTAGCTTCATATTTAATATTCTACTATTTGCAACAGTTTACCTTCATTATCTGCTTCAACTTTTATCGTTGCAGCTAATTTCCTCTTCGAAATATTTGCAAGAACTTTAAGAAATATGCAAGAATTTCTATCTATATAACTGCGTGTAAACGTGCATATTTATGATGAATTTGTAACTTTTTAATTGCAATTACATGGCTTTTCACGCATTCTTTAAAGGAGCAATTCAAACATCTACGACAAAATTCTTCAGATGATGTTGCATAAATGTGGATTTCTTTTTAAAAACTGGATCGATATTTCTGCACCAGCATCACTCCCCGATTTCATTTTCTTGTTAAAATAACAACAACAACAAAAAAATTCTCGTTTAATTTATGGATCTGTTGCAGCGAACTCCAATTACCTTGTTACTCGAGGGTGCTTATATAACTCTCTGTTTCTCATCAGTTATTTTGTAGCATTGCAATTGCAACAATTCCTGCTTTATCCCCCTGAACCATACTCGAATTTAAGAGAAAGAAGTATTTTATATTCTTCTCTGGTCGCCGTTTACGAGTGTACAAAATAGTCTTTTGCTTCTCACAATTTCTTCCAGCATCCTCGAGCATCCCGGGAGAATTTAAATGGAGAATAATTTTTGGAAAAGTTATTCCGATCAAACCTCAATCCCAGCTTCCGTCCATAGGAAGAGCCATTTTATGAAGGTGTAAATCACTAAACCACAAAAAAAAGAAGACGAGGAAGAAGAATAATAAAAGAAATAACCTAAGAAAAAAGAATTTTGCTTCAAGACTTAAATCAAAGCTCTAGTTTTATTCCTTAATTATGCCTTAATGTACTCATTAAAAGATGAGGAAAAACTGAGCCATAAACTCCATAAAATTATCAAAAATTCTTACAAATTTGTTGAGTATTCAATTCTTCGCTATGATGTACGATTTAATCGAAATAAATACGAATATAAAGCTTTTTAAGTAATAAGACGGTTAGTTTTAATATAAAATTAATTAAAATTAAAATTTTACTTAACATTTTTATGAGTTATAATCAAGAGAAATTGCTCGAACATCTTGCTTAAAGTTCATAACGCTGTAACTTATCAATCTGTGGATCGCGGTTCCCCCTTTCCCGGTCTTATATAAGTAAATGATAAGGAAGTTGAGAAGCTCTGTAATAAGAAAATGCGTAATTCACTTTTGTGATGTGATTTTCTTATACGATAACCTTTTTACACATTACATAATCTTCTCCCATAGCTTATACGTCATTTCGTGACTTCGCTGTCTCTAATATCTCCCAATGTGAGATGATATCACAATTTTACGCAATAAGACATTCCGAACATTCTTAGCCATGCTATATTTTTGAATCTTATGCAACAGCAAGTATGATTCTGCGGATGTTGCGGTAAATATGTGTGATATTATAAAAAAATTACATACATTTACTTGATTAGATCATAGTAGAATTGCATTTTAGAAACTTAAAAACATTGCAAAGGGGTGCAATCTCTTAATATCATGTTGTAGAGGCAAAACCCTGATCCAGAAGGATGACCCTATTATAGACTTTTAGAGTTAAATCCTTCAAGATTTGATTCCAAAATCCTATTTGTAGATCATCCTTCAGGGATTTGGGGTTAAGTCCTTCAGAAGCAGAAGAGAAATTAATGAATTTATACTCTTATTTCCAGCCAAAATCCGAGCCTCACCTACAACAGATTATACCGAAGGAGCCAAGCAAACCACGAGAGCATCAGAGACCGGAAATGGGACCAACCCAAGACGATACGGGGAAGAATCCATCACAAGTGGAAGGTGAAGAAGTAGGAGGATCTGAAGACAGGGATGGTATAGAGTTCAGTTTAACAATGATCGTCATCATAGCCGGGGTGGCCGGACCATTGCTGATAGCTTTTGTAGTATTGGTGGTTTTGCTGGTTTATCGAAAGCGTTACCCTGTACGAATGCGTTTTGGTAGAAAGTTCTCGACCTTCGAAAATCCCATGTACGTACGAAAAGACGCGCAACATCCTCGAGAATTGAAAAGGTTAACTACCTGAATGCCCGAGAGTTCCTCCGTGTTTTTGCAATTCGTATTCATTTATTTTATTGGTTTCGATCTTCCAAAATGTCGAAGATTCCGCCGAACTTCCGTCGCAGCATCATCGATTCCGTGCCAATATCCGGAAGTACGTTCAACTTCCGCATATTTCCGTTCGAGAACGTGTGTACGTGTGTCCGAAATGGGTCCAAGGATCCAGTCGTGCCAATGATTATACACACACACACACACACAAACAAACATAAATATATATATATATATCTACGTTCCGCGTCGAATGACGATTTTCCGCCCCACACGTGCGTGTCTGGCATCCCGTCACGCGTGACGAGCGTGGTATCCATCCCGAGCTCGTTTGTATTGGCCATAAGTATTTTTGTACGATGCTTCTCTTTTCAGTTGTGTACGTGTACGTTCCCTTCTCGATGCTCTTGTTTTTCCTCATTCCCTCAAAAGATGTATTTTGTCAACATGAATGTACAGAACCGTTTTAACCATGTTTTTAAGAGAAAGTATCTTAGACTCGAATAAAGAATTGGACCAATACTTGTCTAAATGTACAGCTGCGTACTTATTGAATACGTTCTTTGTATATTTGTAAATGTACGATTCAATCCCTCTCATAATTCCTTACACGTGAGGTTCCAAACCCACCTCACAACAGCTTTACTATCAAAACTCTACCTCAACCCTTCTAGCAGTCATATCCCTACCCAATTTTAAAGCCGAGGTTCCATTCCAATTCCAACAATAGATTTGAACGATGGTTCTAATTTGAGAAACTCGAACATATGAAGCCAGAAAGTGAAGCTATTTCTTATAGGACATCCCCTATAATGAACACGCGTAGATGTGTACAGAATACCACAGATTTAATATAGGCACGTCTCTTCAGGATGAATCGAACATAACAGAAGCATCCAATTTTCAAAGTTCATATATCAAGGAAAACAGAGTGATGCGCTCTCCGATCATCAACGAAGCTATCGATTCGGAAATGACAGCCATATTTATTGCTAGAGTAGAAGACGGATCCTATTCCTTTCCCAGAATTGTTCCGATTAACGACAAGCTTTCAAATAATTCGAAAGGGGGCAACGTCCTGCAGTTTTAGGAAACACGATCGCGTGGTTAACCTTTAGCAAAGGCTTAAAATTCCTAGAAGAAAAACAGAGCTTGACAGTCATTACGGGAGGATATCGTTCTCGTCTATCATTCTCTTTATCAAAAGATGAAATCCTGATGTTACAGAGGTCTACACCAGGGAATTATCTAACAGATAATTGAGGATATTTCTATTCCCAGTTTAGAAGATTTACTGCTTTCCTTTTCTTTCTATCCCTCAATATACATTGTTTTTTTAAATAAAAATTAAGTTTCTTTTTTCAGAAACTGAACCTCAATTGTAGATGATTTAACGCTACGTCTTATTGTCATTTTGGTTTACAATGTTGCCAGTCTTCAATTTGTTGCGACTCAAAAACATTTATTTACGTTTTGAATCGCAAAATAATTATAAAGTCTATAAAATAATCATTTAGAAATAATATGAAATAGATTTCTAAATTCTCAGTAATTTGTAAGTGACATAGTATGGATTTGAAGAGTAAATAGATCAACGTATCACTTATTGATAAATTATCACCTAAAAACTGTATATTCCTCAACAATATCTAACAAGATCGCACTCCCCAGTAGCATCTAACAAGGGCGCACTCCCCAGTAGCATCTAACAAGGGCGCACTCCCCAGCAGCAACTAACAAGAGCGCACTCCCCAGTAGCATCTAACAAGAACGCACTTCTGTAGAAAACCTAATAACCGAAAACACCTCCAATAGCATGTAACAAGAATGAGAACCCCACAGCAAAGTATACCCTCTCAGCAACGTCCAGCAAGAGCAATTACAACTATAAACTTTGGAAATTACATACATCGAACATATAAAAGTCATATTCGCGTATACAAGTTTTATGAGCAACGGTTAGAAGTACAGTAAATCGAAAATAAAATAGTCGTCAAGACTTCTTCAACCAGGAATAAAAAAGAAGAAAGAATATGAAAGAAAAATGTGATTTTTCTCTTCTGCAACACGACTACAAAATAATAATAATAAAAAAACAAATTTACGTTTTCATTTCAATAGTTTGGAAAGTAATTTCCAGTTTCGCATCAAAGTTATTATTATAAAAATTTTATTCATATTTTACTAAGAAAATAACGCCCCCCCAAAAAAATAACAGGAACCAACTCTCACCTATGAATAACGTTTCCTAAACCGGAAAATCAAGTAAGCAGAGCATTGTCATGCTTATGGAATTTTCATTAAATAGAACAAATCCTATTAAATCCTACTAAAATTAGACGAAATCCTACTAAAGAAAAACTTGTCTAGTGTGATAAATTAGCTTTACGGACCGAAAAATTGACTTTACTTCTGATTTGGTGCTTAGAAACTGGGCAGTGGGTGCCACACTACTACTACAAACGTGACTTAAGCGGAAATCCTCGATCCTTATTGAGTAAAACTAAATCCTGACAGATTCCCGTTTCGAAAATTTGTCATACTTAAACATAAACTGTCACCAAACAAAGACTGGAGCTCATTGTACAAAGCTCGACCCCACCCGCATGGAAGGTTGTTAAGAAAGTTTATGTGTTTTTTTTCTATTCGGAGCAGCGCAATTTCGGTTCCTAAAGAGTAACTTTATACGCTGGATTGCGTGCGAGATAAAATCTGCAGAGTCGAAAGTTAAAGAAAATTAAGAAATCCGATACAAAGTACAAATTGTCATATAACATGTCACAAAGAACAAGGGTGGAGCAGTTCGTTCTTTATGAAAAATGATCCCGTGATACAACTGTACCCTGGTACAGCGCTAAGATTGGTGTAAGTTCCCTCTTTCTAACGCCTCCTGTGGTGTAATTACGCTAGAGTGTTCTCCCCTGCTGTAACCTTTGAGGAAATTGCTTTTTTTTTATTAAGATATTTAACCGTTTTTTCGGGGGTGTGTGCTTTTTCGCATCTTTCGCCACGATTAGAAGGAAAACTGCCAGAAAGGACCACCCAAATATCGAGTTTCTGTTAGAAACTTTGCCAAATGACTGTTAATTTAAGAGGGTGACAGTTTATTCGACATTACCGAGTAAGAAAAAGATAAGCGCGCTCCGATTTCTCTGTCTACAATCAAACTTCACTAACGAACCAGCGTGGTACCTTATAGTGATCTGGCACCACACGTTCGGGTGGGGTGCAGGGTACACGTGACAAAAACCAGACCAAAAACCGATAGTGAGGGAGAAGAAGGAGTACAGAAACACGATCCGTCTGTCTCTGGCTTCCCCACAGAGGATCGGTCCTTCGGGGATACAAAGAGAAAAAAAGAGATAACAATGTATAACAATAGACAAAGACCATAATTAATTAAACACAAACGTGGGGGGTAGAGTCTACGACCGAGTTCCTTCAACTACTACTACTACACTAATTAAAAACAGCAAAAATAATAATTCAACTATCGACCTCTGTGCCGTTGCCAGCGGTGCAACGTTCTCCAAAGTGTTCAAATGACCTTTTCTCATCTTCTTAAAAACTTCCTCTTTAACGAAAGATGTGTCATTCCGTTAATTAATGACCTGGACATCGAATTTCTTAACACCACTCAAAAAACCTTAATGGAGTAGGTTAAAACGACGATAGAAGGTAAACTCGTGGCAGTTTATATCTGGATTTACACGAGGTCATTTAGTGCTAGTGACCGCTTCAATTGCTACCAGTTGCCTTATTAATGCTATTAATAAAGCACGTAGTAACCGTGACCTATACTTTCTATCAATAAATAACTTGTAATGACCTCTTACTCGCGATAAGAAGGAAGCTTTACTTTCGTTTGACGTGTCTGGATTGCTTAAAATCTTATTCTTACTCCCTTTTTTTGCTGCAAGTTTTCAAGTCAAGTTAGGCATCTATCAATTAAGGTTATGTCTTTTGCTAGTTAAAGTGCAAATCGTGCCACTTATTCGCAGTTTGAGGTAATTTACTGTTAAAATGGCGGGGTAAGAGAGGGAATTAACTTGTGTAAGTACAGCTTCGATTCTTCCATACGACATTTAAAAGAATTTTTTAAAATATGATTTTATTAAAGTTTTAGTTGAATATTTCCTTTAAAAATAACTAGAAGTTATAAATTTTATTAATTTAATTAAAGCGACAAAGAAAAATCAATTAACACAGAGAGAAAATAGCGGCGGTCAGAGCATAAACATTTTTCTCAGGTGGCGCTGACGACAATTGTTTGTCAGCGCCACCTGAGAAAAAGTAACCCTAGCGCCACCTGAGAATGAGAATGAATGTGACATGCAATATGAGAAATTATATTTTTTATCATAAAAATTTTAAATTTATTTACATTTTTGGCATCTTTTCTAGAATGACTGAATAACCACAAATGAAAAAATAGAAAGACAGCTTTACCCCAAAACGTAGGACATTAAAAAAAATGTAGGACACGCGATTTTCGGTAAATACTGGTGTAATTTGCATCGATAATGAAGAAATTTTATTTTTAACTGTAATTAACACGCCACCTCCAACATACTTTAGAAATTCTTCGAGAAAATTAGTATGCAGGATAATTTAAAAACACATCCCGGACATTGCACACAAAGCTAAAATGTAGACGACGTCCGGGAAAAAGAGGATGCCCGAAAACCCTAATTTTCCTCCATTTTTGCCAGCAAAGCAACCTTTTCTAAGGCTAGCGTCAAAAATCAAGTAAGAACGACCAAAAGCCGCAATCAACGTCGATTAATTAAGCCTCTTTAAGCAAAAATCACAATAATCACGCGAAAATTTATTAAAAAACGCCAAATTAAAAGGTTATTTCTAAAATTATGGCGGCAATTCGCTCCAGCATCTCACCTCGACATCCCGAGAATAAATATAAAGTCAATCAAAGCCATCCTTCACTCACAGCTGTTGGCTGAAGATTAAACTTTAGATTCCACATCGCATTCAGAGAAATGATTTCGTGAAAGTATTATGCCCTTTGGGAAGTTCTAGTTTAGAAATAAAGTCCTCAAATTCTTCCCGGATGAACTGCTCGCTTAGTGGTCCACTCAGGAAGCGGTTTCGTCTTTCAAATTAATGGTTTAGATGAGAAAATGTCCGAATTCCACCTTCGTATGCGAATCAGGACGGTGCCACGAAGGTTTTGTACCCGTTCCACTAGTAATTTTCAGTTTTATAACGGTTTTATGAAGATGCAACGGGAAGATCTCGCACCTGAAAAGTCACCTTGAGAAACCAAAGAATGGGATTTTGATCGTTTCCTTTAAGTAAATACAGATGGAGCCACTCAACTAACAGTTTCCTTCATCATCTATCCCTATGAGAGGCGAAAAAATCATTTAAAATTGGAAAATATATTGAGATTAATCAATAAATTTCTATAAAATCAATATTTGCATTCTAAATAATACTTTTCGTTCAATTTAATAACGCAAATTGAAGTTTAATTGTAATTAATTAGTCAATTTACAATTTCAAACTCGCTAATGAG